CAGTGGTTAAGTCCCCCTCAGTTCAATTCCTGGTGTGGTGGAGCAGCAGGGGGGATACATTTGCTTTCCTGTAGGAGATTTCCTTGATAATGAAAACAAACTTCTCTCTCTCTTTCTCTCTCCATATATATATATATATATATATATATATATATATATATATATATATATAAAAGATCTGGACCAGAGAGTCAGATTTACCAGGTTATACTCAAAATTGGGTAGCAGATCGCATGATCCAGAGTGCCACCCTCTCTAAGGGTTAAAGCACGAATAGGAATCTCACCATGGTCTGTGCTGCTTGCCAAATTGTGCTGCATTCTTTATTCAGGCCTAGTCTGGAGAAAGCCAAGTCGTAACTGGCTTGAATTTAAAGGTTGAAGCTTCAGTTTACTCTCAGAATGTGAGAATCAATGTGGCTCATTTTTGGTTTTGTTTTAGTCTTCTTATTTCTTCTTATCTGTGTTCACTGTTTTCTATAGCAATCAGAAAACATTCAGATTATTTGCACACAGAGGAGACAGGCAGAGATGAGAATGCTATACACTTGGACTCCTTTGCCTCCTTTCTTTTCTCGTAAGTCATATCAGGCAGCCGTTGGGGCCTGACTTTTCGGTCCGGAACATAAATGCTGAATTGAGTTAGGAAGGACTTAAAGCTGCCAAAATGCCTAAGTGACACAGGCGTTTCCTGCAACATTCCTGGGTTGTGACTTTGACCTGAAAATCAGTCTTAAGCTTTTTATATAGCAGAACATACCTGTAAGTTTTATAAATGCATGCACTTTTAAAACCTAAGTAAAATATTATAGTTTTCTAAACAGCCAACCAAGGAGCCCCTGGGCATGGTGGCACACATCTGTAATCCCCGCTTAATGGGTAAATGAGGCATGAGATCACAGATTTGAGGTTCACCTGGGCAACACAGCAAGACCCTGTCTCAAAATAAAACTTAAGAGAGCCGAGGCTACAGCTTAGTGGTAGAGTGCTTGTCTAGCATGTGCAAGACCCTGGGTTTAATCCCTAGTACCCCCACCAAGCGCACACAGAAAGAAAAGAAAACAAGAATATCCTGGAAAGGGAGTGTCTTTTTAGTACTGTGGCGGGGGAAAAAAGAAAGAAAAGATGAAGCTCCCTGATATCATGCATCTGCTTCTGCCTTATTTGTCTCTCCTTAGATCACATGACTTCTTTGAAAAGTCCTTATTTCTCATAACATGCGTTCTCACAGTCACTGATATTTCGCGTGTTTTTCTTGTGACCAATAAGAATATATTAGTCATGAAGGTAAAAAGGCCTTCAGAGAAATGTAACTATGTCTCTATTTAATGTGTACAGTCCTTAAAATGTAGTTGAGAAGACACTGGACACAGCAAACAGTACGAATACAATAGCTAAAGTATGGGTTCCAGACTGGAATAAGAGCACAAACCCTCCATGTGGATTCAAAGGATCCCTGTCCTGGCACTGCCAGTCAGCGTCTGGGTGACTCTGCAGGCGCCAGCTGCTCGGTGATAACATGAAAAATCTGTTTTCCTCCTGTCTTTCTTACCAAGTCTCTGGGAGGGTTCAGTAATTTTTAGAATACCGAGTGCATAAGAAACCCTCGATAATTGCTTGTTATTAATGATGAAGTACAGAGATATTTCTCAAGGCAGTCTTAGAGGATGTATTGTAGCTTGATCTTTGTATAGAAACGAAAGACAATGGATTAGTAAAGATTGACAGTGAAAGGGAAAAGGACTGAAATTTTAAAGTCGTGCATGAGAAAAAGAGAAGAAAACCGTTTAACCAGAACAGCCCACAATTCAGGGGACAAATGGGACATTAAAGACATTGTGGCTTGTTCTCATGGCACCTTCCATATTCTCCATGATTTCCCTACATTACTTATGTGAATTCTGTGTCGTCTGTAAACTCACTTGGTATCTTGAAATGAAATTCATTAAATAAAACTCGAAAGTACCTAGGTACCATCATGCACTCCTCTCACATGACAGGGCCATTAGTAGCTCTGATGGTTTCTTCTGTTCTTTTGAGTTTGAAGATCTTTCTCCTTGTTGGAGAAGACCATTGCAAGATAGGCATTGTCTTCTTCTTTTTTTTTTTAATCTATTAACATTACTTTCTCTTCCTTTACAAATAGTAGGCTTGTTCCTGCCTTGTTTTTCTTCCCCTAAGTGTAAGTTTTAAAAGAGGCTCCGGATGATTTCTCATAGACCTCTGATAATTCTCAATCACAGCCATCAGGCCAGCGTTCATCCAAGCTTAGGTAACGTTCTCACTGACCTCTATTAGTTACCATTTTGTGCTTCTCATTTTAAAAGTTGATACATTGGCCCAGCATGGTGGCGCACACCTGTAATCCCAGCGGCTTGGGATGCTGAGACAGGAGGATTGCAAGTTCAAAGCCAGCCTCAGCAACTTAGTGAGACCCTTTCTCCAAACAAAAAGGGCTGGGGATGTGGCTTAGGGAGTAACCACCCCTGGGTTCAACCCCCCAGTTCCAAAATAAAAGTTTGACATATTGGCAGATCTTCAGCATTTTAAGACCAAATACAGATGGACTCTCAAAATGCAGCCCTGAGATTTTACATCTAAGGATCCAAGAAAGTGCTAGTGCTGTTGGAGGTGAAAAGTGGCATGGTTTGGAGGAGAAAGGACAGTTGGGCGTGACTTGACAGGCAGCTGATATATGGACTAAAGAAAATGTGGGAAACCACAGATAGATAGACAGCAGTCATTCGACCTTGATTATTTAACCACACACACAGATAGGATGCCAAGAGTGCTAAGTTGAGAAATGGCACAGTGACCACTGGGAGATAACCACAGCAAAGGAAATCAGGAGGAGGCTGAGAAACTGAGGAAAATGGTTTTTTTTGGGAAGAGGAGGAGTGAGGACAGCTAGTGGGTAGACACAAGCAAACCAAAAGTAATTCTAAAGTTACTTTGTAATTATTAAATATCACATCATCCATGTCAACTGAGACATTCAAGGACGTGTAGCACCCAGAGCCATATCCACATATTCCAAGTAACGTCAGCTTACATACAAGTGTGTGATGAGCACATTTCTGCTTTTCTCTAGTTGAGTTGCCTAGCTTGTGACTTTGCAATCTGGGGTGCTAGAAGATCTCCGGCTGAACTGGAGAGTTCACAGGTGCTCAAACTCCACTCTGTTTCCTAAGGCGCTCTTGTTTTTCTTCTCCTAAGCTCCTGGTTATTTTTCATATACCTCTGATAACTATCTGTATCTTTAAAAGGGAAGTACATACAAGAGGAAGTGAGGGGAAAGGGAAAAATAATACAAGGGGGACAAATGAATGACAGTAGAGGGGGCAGAGAGAGAAGAGGGGAGGGGAGGGGAGGGGGGATAGTAGAGGATAGGAAAGGCAGCAGAACACAACAGACACTAGTATGGCAATATGTAAATCAATGGATGTGTAACTGATGTGATTCTGCAATCTGTATATGGGGTAAAAATGGGAGCTCATAACCCACTTGAATCAAAGTGTGAAATATGATATATCAAGAACTATGTAATGTTTTGAACAACCAACAATAAAAAATAAAAAAAATAAAAGGGACAGAGGTGAAGGCAGTTGTGGTCACAGTACAAGAACACCTCCCTAGGAGGTGGCAGGCTGGCAGGAGCCTGCTGTGACCTGAGCAGGTCACTTAACCTCTTTGGTTCTCCAGGGAAATCACGTTTTTTTCCTAAACTTACCTTCTGCCTCTTGCTCTTTTTGAAGGGCAGCGTGCTGTGGGAGTTTAAAGAGCGGACATCTTTTAGAAAAAATGTCTTATCATTTTGTAGGCCCTGGATAACATGAAGGGTTAGGGAGTATATCTTGCCCAAAATATGATTACTCACATTTTAAACTACACCTGCCTCATTTCTGAATAAACTCAATGTTAATTATTTAACTTAGAAAATGGGTAAAGAACTGTCATTTTAGCCTGAATCTTTTGAGGTACTGGGATTGAACCCAGGACCTTATATGCATGCCAGGCAAGAGCTCTACCACTGAGCTACATTCCCAGCCATCACCTGAATCATATCTTAAGAAACTTTTTGATTTCAATAGATGAGGTGCTACATATCAACCTCTGACCAGCAAATTCTAACTTACCATCTGGTAGATGTCACCTCAACTTTGTAAATTCTAAGAATAAATGAAATTTGGTACCACTGAGAACAGGGTAACTTAAATTACTGATCCCATGATTTTGCGACTCTGGCATCCAGACTTCTAATGGGGAAAGGTGTGAAACCAACAGCTGTGAACAGGGTACTTTTTACAAGGTTTTTTGGCAATTCTTATAGGTGACAGAGAAAATGATGACAAGTGCATTTCTGCTTTCCAGTACATTGTGCTGAAGCTGGACAATCACCAGTGCCAGAATGTAAACATCTCCTCCTTGGAAGATGAAGTCACTGGGCAGTTACTCTGTATCCAAGGGACACAGACCAATGTTGGTCTTAGGTTAGCAAATATTGTAGTGGCCACCAGCTTCTGTACAAGGTCCTAGTCAGGAGGTGCAGGAATAGTCAGATTTGGGTTTTAAACCTTCTGTACCAAATGAAAAAAGTAGTATCGTAGGGAAGCAGGCCTTAATACTTTCTCATGAACACCAAACTTCACAAATCTGACTGAGGGATTTCGTCATGTTTTATTGGATCCAGTTTTCTAAGTCATGTTAGAAGAAAAACTAACAGGGCATGTGTTTTTCCTCACTCCCCTTAAATAGCGATAACAACCTGGCTGGTCTCCCGCTAAAATACTGCCACCCCTTATAACCCTTGACTTCTTACCTTGTCGCATGTGCCTTCCTCCTTCCCCTTGTGCTGAGCATGAATGATGTGTAGCAAGGTTGGAATATTTTCCACAAACAATTTATGCCTTGGAGATACAACATTTCTGCATAGGGCTCTGCTGCCTTTTTTCCAGTTTAAATATAACATTATATTAAGAGAGTCTTCTTTCTACCAATTAGGTCAAAGTCCTAAAATTTTAAGACCCAAACCCCATGGTTTAGAGCGAACTGATTCACAAACCATAGGTGACTTTGCTACAAGAAGAAAGGGTATGTACTTTAGCACCGCATGCTCTCTGGGGCGCTGGGAATTTTATTATTTCATGTTTTGATTTTTTTTTGTGTTTTTTTTTTTCTTAAAAAAGCAAAAAAAAAAAAAAAAAAAAAGAGGAGTCTTAAATACTACTGCTGTTGTACATAAAGCTTCCCAAAGCATGTTATTTCTAAAGTGAATGCTTTTCATAATGCACTGATTCTACTTAGCCATTAACAGCAGCATGTTAGATATCAGATAATATATGATATTCAGTCTTGTCTTGTGGCATTATTCTTTTAATGTTTTACGCAATGAAACATTGTTTTCTTTAAGCTTGTGAACTGCTTGTGATTTCCAGTTATCTTACACACACACACACACACACACACACACATTTTATTTCCAGGTATTTAATTATGCCATTACTTAGATAAATTACTATTAGCCTTTGGGTGTCAAAAGAATAAAACACTAAGAATTATAAAATACATTCAGTCAGCATAATTCTGTACATGTCTAATGTAGAAAAGCAAAACTGTTTTAACTCAAATTTAGTAAATCAACCTGCATTATATTTGAGTTAACAAAAATACCTATGGGCCCCAGGGACTCTATATAGTCTTTTGAAATGACTACCTATTTTGTAGTTTGATGGTAACTGTAACCTAATTGATTAAAATTTCACATACATCAATAAAGACTAAGGAAACATGGCAAAGTGAACGTTTTTCTTGCAAGTGGCAAGATGAAACATGATTGAGATATTTATTCAATGCATCTGAGCAGTATTCTATAATATAATTAATATTTAAAAATGGTATTTTCATTTTTCTGCTGACTCTGTACCTTTCTGAAAAAAAATTTCAGTCTTGACTTTAAGGAAAGGGCCAAAAACTCTGGTACAAATTAGTTCTAATAACTGTTTACTGCAGTAATGAGGTAAATAAGTAAAGGCCTCTAATAAATAAAGCTAAAAATAAGCATTACTTAATTTTACTTAATTTGGTAAAGGACTCATTGGTTAAATTAAGCTAAAAGTTTGGAGTGATTGTTTAAAATAATTATGGCCTTAAAGCAGAATTTGAGTCCAAAGATATAATTTACTCTGTTTTGTTTCCAGATGGTGTGTAAATTGATTTAAAAGATTTGATAATTAATCCTTTTGGTTTTAGCAAAATTTTGTTCTGGATTTTACTAAATTTTTGGTTTTAATACTTCCTATGCATCATTTTACCTGTTTAGTTGTGTAACTGATGCTTCAGTATTAAAAAATAGTAACATTTTTATGTAGATTATTACATTTCTATATTGAGGATGAAATTAGTAAAAGAATGAGTGAATGAAATAATGAAAAGTATGAATCAAGCAACTATAAAGGAATTGAGTCACATTATTTTTTCTTGTTCACATTTAGATTACACTCACAAAACATTAAATTAAGAAGCAACATGCATGATGGAGCTTAAAACAATCATGAAACATTTTTTTCTAAGCATTGAGCTGTGTCACATCATGTAATATCCATGAACTTTGTTTCATGTGTGAAGCTAGCTGGTCTCGGGTATATTCTATTATATAAAAATTGAGAGGCAGAGGATCTTGTTTGCTTCCCAAAGTTCTATACCAATTCCTCCCTTCTCCCTTTCTTTTCAGCCAAGCCTGCACCTTTAGAAATAAAACCTTTGCCAGAATGGGAAGAATTACAAGCCCCAGTTAGATCTCCCATCACAAGGAGTTTTGCTCGAGAGTAAGTACTTTATTTAAAAATACATAGTGTAAGGGCTGGGGTTGTGGCTCAGTAGTAAAGCACTTGCCCTAGCATGTGTGAGGCACTGGATTCAATCCTCAGCACCTTATTAAAAACAACTAAGTAAAATAAAGGTATTGTGCCCATCTACAACTAAAATATATTAAAAAAAATACATTGTATAACATACTATCTAGAATTTTCATTATTAAGAAATTTATCTAGACCATTTGAGGACTCTTGTGTAGTCAAAACTATTTTCATTAAGATACCAAGATGTCATTTGCCTTTTCCATTCTTTGTGTGCAGTGGAACTTCCCAGATCATGTGAGTTCTCATGATATGTCATGATATCATTGTGACAATTAATGTGCATTTGTGTACTCTTGTATTTTTAAAATATTTCTATTTTCATTTCTGATATGATAAATACCAATAGAATAATTCATATTAAGTTGAGGTTCTTAATATTTTTAAGAGTATCAAGGATTCATGGGACCAAAAATATCTGAGAACTACTGATCTGGAAAATATAGTAGTTTCTTAGGGGATTACTTAATTGAGATTTATTTACATATACCTATGGGGAAATGAGAATAATTTTACAAACTTAGGAACGTGCATTTGTGTTATATGTATACCTAGAGGAAGTTTTTTAAAAAAATAGGAATTCTTAAATCTTTTTATTGATATGAAAGTTTTTACTTCTCTACACATCACTAGTAATAACTTATCTTTTGTCTGTATTACACAATATAATTTGACGTCCAAATCTCCTTTTATAATACATCGGTGTTAGTTGCATTTTAATGTGTATAATAAATTCTATTGTAATTAATGTGTACAATCAATGTAAATGAATATTTCAGAAGGGATGCACACCTTCATTTTTATTTGGGGGAGTGATTTCAGAAGTTTTCATCAAGGTTTACATATATGATGATAATTTCTGTGATTAGCTCCTCTAGGTTTCCCTTGTCCCCACGGCCGGATTCAGTGCACAGCACAACGTCAAGCAGTGACTCACATGACAGCGAGGAGAATTATGTGCCCATGAACCCCAACCTGTCCAGCGAAGATCCAGTATGTAAACTCTTTGCCTGATCCTCTCCTTTCCTAAGCGGTGTTTTGCTCTAATTTTCCTTCAGTCTATAAACTTTACCCTCATGTCTCTTTCTTCCAGTACTTAAGGGAACACAACCAAAGACAACATGGATAAAATCTAAAACCAGTAAAGAGTCAAAATTTAATATAACTGTAAATCATTGAAAAACAAAAGTTTCTGTTAAATCAGCTTTCTATTACTATAACAAATACTTTTTAAACTAATGAACTTATAAAGAGAAGAAGTTCATTTGAGGTCACAGTTTTAGAGGTTGCAGTCCAGGATTAGTTGGCTCTGTTTCTTTGGCCTTTTGTAGTATATCTTGGCAAGAGCAAGTGGCAGAGCCACTCACTCACCTCATGGCCAGAAAACAAGAGAGAATAAGAAGGGAGACCAGGATCTCAATCCCTTCAAAGGCATGCCCATGAAGGCCTCAAGAAATATAGTAGTTTCTTAGGGGGTTACTTAGTTGAGTTTTATTTAAATATAAATAAATCATAAGAATCATTTTACAAACTTAGGAACACGTGTTTGTGTTATATGTATACATAGAGGAAGGTTTTTTAAAAAAAAATTGGAATTCTTAAATTTTTTAATATTTATATGAAAGTCTTGTACTTCTCTACGCATCACTAAGCCCTCTAAGCCCTGCCTCTTCAAAGTTCCACCACATTCCAGTAGGACTACAATAAGGACCAAGCCTTTAACATATGGGCTTTTGGGGGTGCATTTCCTGATCCATCTATAGCGGTTTTCTAGAAGTACTTCATTTAAGATGTGCTCGGTTTTTGATACTCTTCAGAAAAATATACTGGAAGTATTTGATAACGTCTTTCTCCAGGCCCAAGTAATGACATTCTTGTGGTGAGAAGGTCTTATACAGGAGATTCTTGATAATCTTTCGAGAATAAACCCTTGGGCTTAAAGATTAAAGAAGACCTGTTATAAACATAATATTTTTAAGGTTGGCTGTATTGCCACAAGGCATGAGAACTTTATCATAGCAGCAAATGTTTTGTTTCTCAGAAATCTAAAAAATACTTCAGATGTTTCAGAATAAAAACCAATTTTAATTTTTAAAAATAATTCTCTTTTGCTTATTCTCTTATTGTATCTTATTATATAGAGTATCTACTAGACCTATTTAGTATCTACTAACCTGTTTAACAGTGACTTAAGAAAGAAGTTTCTTTCTTCCTCATGCAAAAATCCAGAGAGTCAGTTGAGAGCTGTCAGGGATTACGGCCTCTTTAGCTCTGCAAGGTAGTGTCCTCTGCGTGTAGCTCACATGCTCATGGAGTAAGGTCATGTTCCAGCCAACAGATTGACACACAGACTGCAGGGTAGGATGGGGGACAAAGGGAACAGGAGCAAAGGGTTCAATCCAGCAGCTCATAAAAAAGGTTCCTGAAAATGGCCACAGAGAAACCAGAACTATGGCCATTTTCAGACACAAAAGGGTCTGGGAAACAGCCTTTTTTCAAAGGGTCATTGGACTCACGTAAAAGTTCCATCATGGAGCTGTGCGCGGTAGCACACACCTGTAATTCCAGCGGCTTGGGAGGCTGAGATAGGAAGATCGTGAGTTCAAAGCCAGCCTCAGCAACAATGAGGCGCTAAGCAGCTCAGCGAGACTCTGTCTCTAAATAAAATACAAAATAGGGCTGGGGATGTGGCTCAGTGGTCGAGTGCCCCTGAGTTCAATCCCTGGTACCAAAAAAAAAAAAAAAAGGCTCTATCATGGGAGAAGGGAGAGCAGTTGGAGAACAACAGGATAAGCAAATATTGAATATCAAATTTTTGAGTCACATTTTGGAGGTCTTATTTTCTTTCTTTGTTGTAAGCTCAGTTCAATCAATGAATTTGTCTTTCATTCTGCATAGACTTTAAGCAAAATAGGTCCCTCAGACACGTATGTCAGCAATCATAATGAAATGATATGGAAAGCTCGATTTGGTGCTATACTGGTTAACTTTAAAAATGAATAAATTTATGAAATATTCAAAAATAATTTATAATATTTAAGTCAACATTGAATTTGACTGTAACTAATTAGACCAATAATGATTTTAGAGATTACTCAAGGCAGAAAAATTTTTACTGACTCTTAGTTTTTGGATTCAATTTTTTTTTTACTTGTTGAGTAGTTGTTCTATCATTTTTTTATTAATTTAATTTGTTTTCTCACTATAGTGAATAGACTCAAGTAAGAGAATCAGTAATACTTCATCAGAGTAGATACTGTCACCAACTTTCATCTTTAGGTAGTTGAACCAATTTTTTTTCTAATTGCAAAATAATAATTGAGAGTATTTTCTGAGCTAGAAGAGATTTTATATTTTTGCTCAAAATAGTAAGTAACCATAAAAATCTTAGGAAGACAATGTAAAAGCCTGAAAATAGAATTTGTCATAGGTGAAGGTAAAAGACCAGAAAAAAGACCATTATAGTCAAAAGTCAAAGGAAGTAAAAATATGTATTTTTGTACCTATGACATTAAACCAGAAAACCACATTTATTTGCCAGGAGGGATGTCTAAATAATCACTGATGGATTGCTGAAGAACTTTGGTCATAAGTGTTAGAAATGACCAAAAATGACCCAGGTGGAAATATCTGTCTACCATGTTCAGTAGAAAAGTCAACTGAGCCATGAGTGCCAACTATAAGGCCTCCTTGTAGTACATGTAACTCTTCCTTAGAAAATTATGTGATCATTGTAACAATATTGGGAACTTAGTGTACTAATGAAACACCATGGAAGTTCACTGGATCTAATGCATGCTGATGAAGTCAGTAATAAACTAATCTTAAAGTTCTAAGTTGAGACAGGATCAGACCATATCTGGTTTATTCATACAATGAAGACCAAATTCTTGAAATTGACATTTTACAGCTCATTTCCTAGGAGATTATGTCTGTCATAGGCAGTGAAACAGTGAATTGGTGATGCTGTCCACTAATTTGTATGAAGATCAATGTCAAACATTTGAACCCTTAATTTAATACCTGAAATTTAAGTGATGGTACACTATTACTAAAGACATAAATTGTTACATAATAACAACATACATATCCTAAATGATCTTACATGTTTTTTGAAGAATTTTAGAAAAATCTAGCATTACTGTTTTGTTATTTAATTTACAGAACACGATATAATTTCCACAATTTTCACAGTTCCTCAGAAAACTATTTTGGAAACACAGTGGGTGAAAGGCTAGAACACAGAGGGAGGCTGTTCCCTGTTGAAACCGGATCAAGAACAAATAGACTTCCTCATCAACACACAGATTTTAACAATACTTAAACATTTCCAGTTTTAGTAGTCACTAGACATAAAACTTAACTAGCAGTTCTGAGAAATTCTCTTTGGGGACAACTTATTAGGGTTAAATGAGCAGGTCATATGAATTTATGGATTCTCTTTATATCTTTATAACACTGTGAACACTTCTAGGCGTTTCCAGGCAGGAAAACATGGGATGTGGGTTGTTATCCATCACCTTTGAACATGGAATATTGCTTACCCTCCCAGCTGATTTGTTGTGAGAGTAAAATATGGCCTTACGCAGGGGGAAAAAATGACACTGATTTCAGCTTCTTCATGAATTAGTAAAATGGGGGGTACTGTCTTTAGCAATTCAGCTTGAGCAAAATTTTCTTATATTTTTCAACCCTACATGTTAATTTCAATATTTTATTTGCAGTTGTTGAGAAATTTGATTTAAAATTCTTTTTCTTTAAATAGGGTCATTGCATTCACCTGTGCAGTTGCTTGCTTCACTCTTACACCCCACCACATGAAATCCAGGCCATGTGGGGCCCCTCATCAGGTGTGGGCCCTGGCACAGAGTGTGTCACTTCAGAGAAAGGAGCACCTTTTTCTAATTTATAAAAGGATTTATACTGCCTATCAGCAGCCCCACTACCACATGAGGGAATAAACTGAGTATTTTTCTAGCAAATGTTCTTTCCTTTAAACACAACTCTCTACTTTAACTGTAGGTCGTGGGAGACAGGGGTGAAACAGCAACTCAAAGAGTCAACGGAACCAGATTCATGCACAAGTCCCTAATGAGCATGCGGTCTTCCTTGTGAGGCAGCATTTCTAGATGGGCGTTGTGCATGGTGGCAAATCACTTTGGCTCACACTTAGGATACAAAAGAGAGAGAACGTAGGGACATAAGGGCATTTCGCCCTCCTCCTATTTAGCATTGGTTCGAGTTCCTGCTAACCTGATCCATTTTTATTTTTCTTAAGCCTCTAGCTTTTTGGTTCTTGTTTATTGCTATCCTCTATCTTCCTATTTTCTTTATTTTACTTTAGAGAGTAGTCCTATTGCACACTTCCTTTTAGAAAGGAAGAGATCAAACTAAGAAAAGACAGGAAATTAATTAGTTAAAAGAAATCCAGATGATTAAATAAAATAGACTTTGGAATCATTATCTATAACCTTGAGATAATATACTTAACTCAAAACTAATGTTTTTGCATGAAAGCCTTTAAATTAACCGTAGAAGCTTTCTTTTAAATTTAATTTGAAAGCAGTGGGTATAAGGAGCCTCTGCTATAAAAATGTAATTGAGTACAATATAATTTTAATAATGTTCAGATTGAACTTTTATGGCCAGCTGTGGTTTGATTTCCCCAGTCTAAGTTTAACCAAATTTAACTTCTGAAACTACTTTTGGCTTCCTCTCAGTTTTAATACATTTAAAATATTATTCATTAAATCCTAAGAGTTTATTTAATTTTCTAAGCAGACATTTTTTTCTAGCCTTGTTCTTTTGAAAAGCAAGTACAAGGTGAATGGTATATATCAGTGGTGGTGGCTCACATGTGTATTCCTAGCTACTCAGGAGGCTGAGGCAGGAGGATCTCTTGAGCCCAGGAGTTTTAAGGCCCCCAACTCAAATGAAAAAGGATGAATGGTGTGTTTCATGAATGTTTGACGGCTGGTGTTGTTGTGGTTCACTTTCAGAATCTTTTTGGCAGTAATAGCCTTGATGGAGGAAGCAGTCCTATGATCAAGCCCAAGGGAGACAAGCAGGTGGAGTACCTTGATCTAGATTTAGATTCTGGGAAGTCCACACCACCGAGGAAGGTGAGTGAAACCTCATTCCACAAATGTAGTTAGCGTGCACTTTAAACGAGCATTGTCTCCTTGGGGAAACCTTTATTATGTTTAATTTAATGAAGTCTATTACTTAATGCACTTTTGAAAACTGCAACAAAATGGTGGAGTCTGAGTCAGGCACAGTGGCACACGCCTGTAATCCAGAGACCCAGGAGGCTGGATCAGGAGGATCACAAGTTCAAGACTAGCTCAGAAACTTAGAGAGACCTTGTCTCAAAGAATAAAAGGGGCGGGGAAATGTGGCTCAGTGGCGGAGCACCCCTGGGTTCAATCCCTAGTATTCCGCCCCCACCTCAAAAAAAAAAGAAAGAAAAAATTATGGAGACTGATAAAGTAACTTTCTCTTTTCTGATGGTATGGCGGTTAGATATTTTCTGTTCTTACCACTGAAATGATTGCTTAACAGATTCTTAAGGTAAACAATATCTTCATTATTTTTTAGAAAGTTATCTCAAATTATATGTTCTTTCTGACCAAAATTTCAATTTTTTTCTTTTGTTAAGCCCACAATTAGTAGTATTAGTAGGAATGCATTTTGTAAACAGTATTGACTTACATCTTCCTACCTGCTTACCAACTTCTTTGTCTATCACTCTTTTTGTATCTTAGACTCTCCTTCGTGTAATTATTTTTTTCCTTCTGAAATGTAGCCTTTAGAAGTTTCTTTAGTGGAGCTCTGTGGGTGGTAAATCCTTTCCACTTTTTGTTTGTTTGTTTGTTTTATGTGATGTCTTGATTTTGCTTTATCTTGGAAAACAAGACGGGGTTCAGCCGACAGCTCTTGACTGACGGTAACTTTCTCACCACGTAGAAGACACTGTTCCCCCCTCACCTTGCTTCTGTCCCTTGTGAGGAAAGCATGTTGTAGTCCGGTGGCTGTTCCTATGCAGGTCACCTATCCTTTCTATCTGGCTGATTTTAAACTCTTTCCTCTGTTTGTGTCATTTTGCAGTTTCCCAACAGTGTCTAGACATGAATTGCTTTTTATTTGTGCTGCTATTTCATTTTCTGGGTTTGCAATTTTTTCTCAACTCTGGAAAAATGTCATTCATTCATTTTACTGTTTATTCTCTCCTCTGACATTTCTGATTAGACATGTTAGGATGTCTGTATTTTCTGGATCTCTTACCATTCTTTTATAATTTCTGCTTGTCATCTCTCTGTGCTTAATTGGATAGTTTCTTTACATCTTTCACCAAGTTCACTAATTCTCTATTCTTCCTATTTGTTTAGTTTTCAATTATTTTATATTTCATTTCTAAAATACAGTTTGCTGATTTTAACAACTTTGGATTTCTTATTTGTTTTATTCCTTTTATATTTATGCTTTAGTTCCTTTAAACATTTTATAAGTACATGTTTTATGCTGTTGATGCAGTAACTTTGATAGTCTGAAGTCCTTGGAGGTTTGAATTTATGTTTATTGTTTCTGCTCTTTTTTTTTTTTTTTTTTTTTTTTTTTGTTACTAGGGATTAAACCCAGGGGCACTTAATCACTGATCCATATCCCCAGCCCTTTTTTATATTTTATTTAGAGACAGGGCCCCACTGAGTTGCTTAGGGCCTTGTTAAGTTGCTGAGGCTGACTTTGAACTCTCAATCCTCTTGCCTCAGCCTCCTGAGCTGCTGGGATTACAGGCATGCGCAACTGCGCCCAGCTGCTAACTCATTCTTTTTGGCTTGTGTGTTTGTACATTGTCTAATTGCAAATCCTGAGGACCTAAATTTCCTCCAGAAAAGATTTGTATTACCTTTTGCTAGGAACCAGGAGCTACTACTACCATAGTTTAGTTCCCTCCGGGGACCACAGCTTAACAGGATAGCCTTAGGTTCAGCATGACCTCCTTCCCCCAGCCTCCTAGTTGCTCTGCTAGATTGACATCCATCCTGAAGACAAGGTTTCTTTCCATGCCTTAACCTCTCCCTCCATTTTTCTTATAATTAGCTGTTTTCTTTCTAGTGAGCCCAGCAATGCATTAATAATCACATTTAAGTTATCTAGTATCAGGCTGGATTTGGAGAGTCAAAGAGCATCAGCCCATGTAATTGATTGTTCTTGAACTATTGCTTTGCAAAAATCAACAATGAAACAAAACACAAAAAAAAAACCACACATTTCTTAGCTCTGAAAGTAAACACTGGATTTCAAAAAAAAGTCAAGTTAAAGGGAGAATCAATCTGCATATGTTAAGATGAACTATGATACGGCAAAATACATTCTACAGCCATGTATAACTAAAGAGAACAAATAAAAAATAAAAACAAAAAGATGAACTAGGTATTTTCTGTCCCTGTTTCCTATGAATAACATCTCTGGTGGGAGTGTTAGTGTGAATTCTATAATTTTAAATTAAAGAGAAAATGATGTTTAGTTAGGAGAGAGACGGCATTGTTAAATTGAGGTAGTTAATGGTATTTCTTTGTGAGCCAATAGAATTTCAAGAATATCCATAGTGCATGTATGTCCATTTTAAGACTGAATTTCACTCAGTCCAACTTTACTTTTTTAAGTAAAAAATTTTTTTACTTTTTTGTTTTTTCTTTGCATTTTAGCAAAAGAGCAGTGGCTCAGGAAGCAGTGTGGCGGATGAGAGAGTGGATTATGTCGTGGTTGACCAGCAGAAGACCCTGGCTCTCAAGAGTACCCGGGAGGCCTGGACGGATGGAAGACAGTCCACAGAATCAGAAACACCAACCAAGGGTGTGAAATGAATATATCACCTTGCCATTTCTGAACAAAAGAGAACCGAATGTAGAGAGAAATCCTGTTTGAAAATGACGTGACGCTTCTATGCTAACTAGATCCTCAAGTGAGCGGAGTTGAAGTCAAGGGACCCGTCATACATAATCAAGCAGTTGGGATTGGAAATGGTGCTTTGTGGTATCTGAACAATTTGTAACATGTAAATAATGTGGAAAAATAGTCTCATTTAGCTCCCAGAGAAACATTGGTCCCGTGGTTAACACATTTGTAGTATTACTGTATTTATGCACTTTTTCATTTAAAACATTGGTTTGGGTCTTCTCGATGAACCTTAGTGGAATTCCTTTGGGAGTTCTTGTTTTTTTCTCACACTACTCTCTATAACAAATACTAAGTTAACTAAGCTACTTTTAGATCTGGAAATTGCTGTTGAAACTACAGTCTAACAACATGAAAATGAGAAGTAGGATCCCAAATTAGCTTTCTACCTGACATTACAGGTGGTAACCATTAGCTTGAACTACCAAGTCCTCCACTGCCTTTCAGTATGCTGAGGATAATGTATGTATTGGTGTCAGGACCTAGTTCTCTGGTTCATGTACATTTAGTTTTTAATGGAGGGACTTTGTTGTATTTTGTTAATGACAGTGTTTTTGGTTCATTGAGTGAAGATTCTGCCGGGTGGGATCTTGCACCTTTGAAAGACTGAATATAAATTACACTATCAAGTAACCCTGAAAAATCATTGACAGCGTGCAGTGATGACATGCTCTTATGCTTGTTAACATGTTTGAGCATTACTTGCAAAAGGTAGATAATATAACTAATCAGGTACGTACCGGGCACTGAAGTGCTAATACACTGATCAGGTTTAGACAATGAGCTTTAGTTGTGTTGTTCTTCATCCTAAATATTGGTTTCCAGTGTGGAGTTAAGGAAACAGTTGACATTCACTGTTAGTAATAGCAACATACTGTGATTCTTAATTAGACAGTAATTGAGATTTATTACTCTTAAGAATGAAATTCTATCTTTTGACACCATAGTGCCCTTTCTATGATTTTATTTTACTTAATATTCTTCTTGGCCTTATATTTAAATTCCTATGCAATTAATGTTTTATATCTTCATTTAAAAAAAAATAGATGTTATATTAGTGATTCTCATGTAGCACCTGTTGTTTTTCCAGTAAAAGAATTTAGGATTTTGTACTGTGATTTTCTTCACTGCCCCTGTTCGTGAAATATCAGAGCCTTGCTGTAATGTGAAGTTTTCTACCCACGGACCCCTTCCAACCAGATTTCCAAAACCACCAGAGGAATGGCGTAATTCTATCTCACCTATAACATGGTCCTGTGTCACAGATGTCAAGACCACAAACTGTAGTGAGACTACAGTTATATTCATCTTTCTTGGCTTTGCAACACACTTTAGAAAGCAGATATAGTTGTTTGGGGTTCTTTTTTATTACCTAAGTCACGGACAGTCTCTTATGTATTGATTTCAGACTTACAGCTTTTGGGGGGGCATAGAAATGGGGTGCCCACCACTGAGGCACAACCCACTCCATTCAGACCTCTCACTGTTGCCTGAGTACACAGATGTGCCCTGATTTCTGGCCCTTTGGCCCTAGTACTGTGCCTGATCCATGTGCTGGGTTAACTTCCCCAGTCCACAAACTATGTGCTAATTACAAGATGAATTGTAGACTAGTAACATGTGATGCTTTTAAATGTTTGCTTTATTTTAAACAAAAACTAAAACCCAGAACTGAATTTTGAGGTGGATTTTTAAATAAAAAAAGATCTGTTTGATTTTGGTGTGCAAGCTGTTTTATAATAAAACCACAAAATAAAAATCTAAAATCATTGAAATGTGCCTAAACTGTCAAAACACACAACACAGTTGATGTGTAAAGGTACACCATTGACATTTTACCTGGAGGAGGAACGTATTTTGAAGTTTAAAACCCAGTAACAAATATGTGATAAATTCAGAAATAAAAATCTTTCCTTAAACCTGCCTATCTGGAGGGTCCAAAGCCATTATGAATGTTTTCAGTGTAGTTTCTCAACTTTTTTACAAGTTACTCACCATTTTTGTAGATCTACAACACTCTGTTTTTTTAGAATTCTTACCATTATGCTGAAGAATGGAGGGTCTCGGGGATGTAGCTCAATAGTAGATCATGTACTTATTAGCATGTGTGAGGCCCTGGTTCAATCTGCAGCACCAAAAAAGTAAGAGAATTGAAATGTTATTATAAAGTTAGTTTGCTTTAAAAAACTAAATCACATTAAACTCTGTATTAACAAATTAAATTAAAAGATGGTTTCTTTATAGAACTTTGTTTTTCAAACATTTTTCAGGACTAGAATATTTTTAAATTTTTAATGTATTATTTCAATACATACAGCCCCCAAGGTAGATTTTATCTGTATAAATATTTTTCAAGTTTCTGCTTATGTTAAATTGTTAGTTCATTACTATGAAAAACAAGATTTCTGAATAACACAAATGTGGAGTTATGGTGGAGGAAATCTTAGCGGTTTGTGTGCTATCAATAAAACACGAATATAAGTGCTTATAATAACAGTCCAAATACACATCTCTGGAGGAGTCTTTAATTAGAGATAGCTGAAATTATCTTCCAAAGACTATATAAAGATATAAATTATCTTGGTAGTAGAAGTTAACACATAAGCAGTCTCCAGTGTGGTAAAATAAGGTATGTGTTAGGATGTGTGGTTTTAGTAAGTTTTTAAATATGCACTTAAACTAAATTGAATGATATCCTTTTAACTCACCCATAAATCACCTCCAAGAAGCTAGATTTCAGGGAGGCATGGGATGAAAACCACTCATTACCCATGTGATGTTAGAGATCAGAAATCTTTCCCCACATTTGATGTTTCATATCTTGTATTCCTTATTTGACAAAATTTTAAGGTTTTTTAAATTTTATTTATTGATTGATACTGGGGATTGAACCTGGAGGTGCTTTACCACCAGACCACATCCCCAGACATTTTTATTTTTATTTTGAGACAGAGACTAAGTTTCTAAGTTGCTGGGATTATAGGTATGTGCCACCATACCCAAGACAAAATTGTAAGATCTTATATAGGTTTGAATGCCAAAACACAGTTCTGCTTTCAAAAGTCAAAACTCATACTTTAAAAATTGAAGCTATTTAACCCACAGCAGGTATCACTCACGCTATACAAGATGTTTTAATCTACACTCTAGTTTATACACTTTTACTGTGAGCATTTTAGAGAATTCCATAAAGGTACTATGGGTGTGTTTAATCAGATACTAAGTTTAATTTGATATAGAAATGCTGTTGTACATTAAGGTCATAATTTCTTCTGGAGTTTTTATATTTAATTAATGGGGTTCACAATCTTCCTGTTCACAAGTGTGTTTAAACTGGAAATTGAATACCAGTGTTGTTTTTCTTTTTCTACTACTGGAGAGTTGTCTGCTTTCCCCCTACGGAGAAAACAATACTTTTTAAATATTTTGTTAAAATGTTAACTACTATATGCTTATTTACTGTGCCATAGATTCTGATTGTAATTCTCTGTTGTTCTCGAAAACTCTTAATGCCTCCTTCCTTTGGTCCACTCCAAGTGTGAATGACTGCAAAATTTTTGAGGCTTTACAATGAGGTGCCCCTGTCTGTGGATCATTCTGGTAGGTCTCGCCCTCTGCTGTCGGGTAGCCAGGTCAGTGACAGGGTTGTATACGTGGCCAAATCATCTGGGTTTTCAGAGCAAGAAAGAGACATATATCCCAGGATAACAGTTACTTACAGTCACACTTGATGTTATGCATAAATTTTTATGTGATTTTAAATACTGAACCATGAGATGAAATGCCACAGTGTAAATGAGTATTGATGGCATCATGGACTTGAAAAACAATGTCATATTATTGAGATAATTGTTTTCAGTCTTTCTAAATATGTTTATGTACTACTATGATTTGAAATAATTTAGTCTGTCTTCCCTTCCCATAGATTTATTTTTGTTTAGGTTCAGTATAATCTCTGAGTTTCTATAAACTAACTCACCAGGGGATTAACATAGTTTCTACTTCCTTTACCTAAGGAAGACAAAGTTCTGACCGTTCTGCATGAGCTCTGGAACCTAAGTTGATTATTGATGTCTTCCCACATTTCAGCAGCAAAATCTTATGTATAAATTTACTTCTCCCCTTTTGCACATCTTCTTTTGTAAAGATCCAATTGTAGATATTTTATGCTACCCAAATAAAAACTTTCAAACAGTTTGGTTTCAGGACCTTTGAATAGATGATAGAGATTGTGAACTAAGGACACATACATGTGTATTTGCAAATATTTTAATAAGGATGGATAGATGTTTATTTCCAACCCTTCCATAAAGTGTGCCTGGATCAGAACCTCAGTTCTGCTATTAATTGAACTTATTACCCACATCTTTAGGGTCACACATTTTCTGCACAGAGATTTCACTAAGTCATGCTAAAATATCATGACCTGCTCTAAATAGGAAACGCTTCTAAGACACATTAATATATCATTATCCCTCCATCCAGCCAGTGCCGATAGCATTTTGTAGAATATAAGACCAAATAAATAAGGGCCTGTATGCAGCCTTAACCATGAGAAGCTGCATCTTATACATAAAATATGATTTGGGCAGTGATAATGTTTATTATTTCTATGAGAGTCTCCAAACATCCCTAGCCCTTTATAAAATCCCAGGAATTGGGACAAGTCAGCCCTTGGGTCTGCTCAGCCCAGCATTTTGCAGCTTTCTCATTAAATCACTTTTGGGGAGGTGAGGTTGTCTTCTTTGAGGTCATCCTTGCTTTATCTGTTTTTCTGTCATCTTGTATGTAAATGAAACATCCTCTGATAGAGAAATGCTTTTTGAATTTCAGTTTTGTACAGAATATCTTGGCAACTCTGTAAATGATGTAATATTTTTAAAAGCTGGGTCAGCAGATGGAGGCATTTGATTATTTTGTGATTGGTTACAGTCCCTGCTTTAGTATTACATTAATTTTTTTCCCCCCAGTACTGGGGATTGAACCCCGGGCACTGTACCATGGACCTACATCCTCAGTACCTGTTTCTTATTTTGAAACAGGGTCTTGACAAGTTGCTAAGGCTAACCCAGAACTTGGGATCCTTCTACCTCCATCTCCCAAATAGCTGGCATTATGGGTGTGTGCCACCGCACCCAGCTACGTAAATTTTTTTTAAGAAAATAAACAATTGCCTATAGAAAATGAAGTTTCTGAGATGTTTTTCTACACTTCGTTAGACAGGATGTTATTACTCCTAGTTATTTTTGGTGATTAACTCTTAGATGAGCGTGTCTCCTCTTAATTTTTTGATCCATGTAGTGCCCAGAACATCTGGAATACTCTAAAGAGTCATATGTATATATGAAATATATAATATGGAAAGTTTTTAAATCAAATATCCCCCAAAATTTACTTTATCAAATATGGATAGTGGTGGTTAATTTTCTGCCAACGAGCTAAGCTATAGCACCCATGTGTGGTCAAAAACTAATCTGAGATGTTGCTCTGAAGGTGTTTGTAGATGTGATTCATGTTTATAATCAATTGATTTTAAGTAAAGCCTAACGTGGGTGGGCCTCGTCTAGTCAGTTGAAGGCTTTCAGAGCAGAATCTGGAGCTTCCCAAAGAAGGAGTTCTGCCTTAAGACCACACATTAGAATGGGAGATGTTAACTCATTGGTAGAGCCCTTGCCTAGCAAGGCCCTGGGATCCAAACCAAACTAAACAACAACAAAAAAAAAAAACTACAACATTAATTTTGCCTCAGTTTCTAGTCTCCGGCCTACTCTGTAAATTTCAGACTTGCCAGACCTAATTATCTTCAAGTCTTCCTTAACATGAAACTCATCTGCCTGTCTCTTCTTCTCCCTTTCTCTTTCATCTTTCTTTCCTTTCTTCCCTCCCTCCCTCTTCCTCTCTCTCTCCCTCTTTCTCTCTCTCCATATATAATAGATATGTTTGTTTAATATGTGAAATAATAACAAATGATACAGAACAGCAAATACATGATTCTGTTTCCAACAATGAACTACATATGACAATTTATGAATTAAACTGAGTGCTTCTTAATACCCAGCAATGATTTTAAAGCTTAATTTGAAATATATTGGCAGTCCTTGCTCCGAAATGTTTTTCTCTTCTATAATACTCGATGAATTAATTTCCAGAGTCATATACTGACAGCCACGTTTCCACTCTGGCCTTAATTTACTGTCTTCTAGGAATTGTTAAATTGTCATCTCCAATGAGGAAATCCAGAATGATAAGAACGCAAAGATGATTGGGTTCTGGCTGAGTAGGATCAAGGATTCAGTTAGGACAAAGGTTAATTGTAGTTGTCACATGCTATAACCCTAATGCATATGCATTTAGTTATCTCTGCCTTAAATTTCCTTTCTGTACATAAAACAATACCCTACAAACCTCTAACACTATTTTTAATCAACTTTGCAAAAACATTGAGCCTGAAAGTTGTTTATTCCAATCCTCAGACAAAGGAGTAATTTTGTCTTTCTTCTCTCTTTCTTTTTTTTTTTTTGTGGTGGGGGGGTGTTTTGGTGATTGAACCCTGCACCTCATGTATACTAGGCAATCATTCCACCACTGATCTGCATCTCTATTCCTCTTTTTTAAAAATTTTGAGACAGGATCATGGTACGTTGCCCAGGCTGGCCTCAAACTTGCAATCTTCCTGCCTTAGCCTCCTAAATAGCTGGGATTACAGGTATGCACCACCATGCCCAGCTACATAAAATTTTTGAGTAAGATAAATGCTCGACTATGGAAAATTAAGTTTCTGAGATGTATTTCTATGTTTCTTTAGAGAGGATGTTATTACTCATAGTCATTTTTGGTGATTAACTGCTAGATTCCAAATAAGAAAATAACTTTTGTCTCATTTTTTTTTCCCTACTGGATAGTGGGCAATTAAAAATCCCAATCAGTTTGCTAAAGTACTGGTACCTGTGTGGCACAGGCCAGGTGCTATGGAAAACACGAGAAATCTACATCACATTTGTGTTTACAAATTAATACATGTAAAATGACAGATGATACAGGATAGTAAGTAAACAATTCTGTTTCCAACATTGAAGTTACCAAAGGAAAGACAGTCAAAATGTTGTAATGAAGACACATTTCATGACACAGAAACTGAGCTAAATGTTGGATGATTTAAGACGCAAAGAAGGGTATCCCAAGAGGAAACGGTGAACAATTTCTTTATTAGCTTGCTGTTCGTCTAGTTGTTAGTTGTTTTGTGAGAAGACAAAAGTAAAAAGACAAAGACAACATGGAGAACTGTGTGTTGGCATTGTGTATTAGTGGAGAGTTATGAATATTATCTAATGCATTCTAAGTCACCAAAACGTAGTGACTTTAAAAACATCATCAATTCTCACAACTTGTGTGATCAGAATTCAGAAGTTCTGGCTTAGTCTCTAATGAAACTACAATCAAATCAGCTGAGACTGTCTTAAGACTTTTATCTAGGGTTGAGGGATCAGCTCCAGAGTGGTTCTCTCTCATGACTGGCAAGTTGGTACTTCCTGTTGGTAGGTGTCTCCTTTTCTCTTAGTGAGGATTTCTTCACAGAGCTGCTTCGGTATCCCCTTGACATGGGGACTAGCTTTGCCCAAAGCTTGTGATCTAAGAAACCAAGCAGAGACAGTAATGACCTTTAATGACCTAGCCTTGGAGGTTCCCTTCTGTCATCTCAGCTATACTTTAATGGGTTGGAGGAGGAAACTCACAAGGTCATAAATACCAGGAAGTGAGGATCACTGGGAGCCAGCCATCTCATGTTAACTATCATGTAGGCAGAGTTAAGAGTCAAGAGATGAGGCCAAAGGTGGAGGGCCTTGGGAACCAATTCTAACTCAAGTGGATTGAGCATTAAGAACTTCAGAATGTCAGAAAATAATCCAAAGCATGGAAAGAATAGGCCACAAGAAGTCAAGAGACAGTTCTACACCCAGATTGAGTCCAGCTGTGTGTCCTTGTAAATTACAAAGGTATTCAACAGTTCTTGAGACTCTTGCATATATTCTTAATCCTCCTAATAGAGTAAGGTAGGTATGGTTATTTTATTCAACCTTCAATTTTAAAATCCACAAGAATTTCTCTCAATTCCATGAACTTACCACATACTCTTCATATTTGGCTTTGGTGGGGGAGTGTTCATCCTCTAGGGCTGCCAACACAAAGTAACACAGACAGGGTGACTTACATAACAGGTATTGGTTTTTCCCAGTTCTGGAGGCTACAGGTCCAAGGTCAAGGTGTTGGGCAGCAGGTTTGTCTTCTTCTGAGGCCTGGGTCTTGATTATAGATGGCATCTTCTCACTGTATCTTCACTTGGTCTTTTTCTCTTTGTGTGCAGCCCTGGTATCTCTGTTCTTATAAGATACCATATTAGATGAGGGCCCACCCATATGACTCAGTTAACCTTAATTAGATCTTAAAATTCTACATCCAAAGACAATTCTGAGATGCTGGCAGTAAGACTTCCACATGAACAGGGATGACTATGTTTGTATTTCATCTACCTGGATGTATTGTATGCACTTTAAAATTAAAACTGTGCCTTATCCCATAGCATAGCACTCACTCACATTCCTGGCAGGGAAAGGTGGCAGACTCAAAGGAGTCACTGAAGAGAGTTAAATGGACTATTACAAAATTATAGCCAAGGGAACCAGCAAGGAGCAGTAAAAAAAACCCTGAACAATAGGAAGTGGCTAGTAACGTGAAGGAGGCATTACCACTTCTAGAACTAAGGGAGCTGGTGGAAGGAGCTGTCATTGAATCCCAGTAAGAGCTATATCTGGGGGGAGAAGGTCCACCAAGAAACACCTTGATCTTCAGTAGGAGGACACAACCACTACCATGGGAGACCACCAGGGAGGGAACCAGGTTTCTCCTGTGACTTACCATTGCCTAAAACCACCCAGCAGCCAGAGAACCTGGAAACCCAGGAGATGTCATACATAGAGCTCAGCCTCCAGAGCATGTGACAAGGCAGAGAAGCAAGGGACAGATCAGGCAGGGAGAACAGAAAATTCTTCATAATCATCATATTGATCATTGTGTCAAACTAAAAATTCAATTGAATTGAATGAATGAATGAATGCTTATTAGCCATCAAAAAGGAAATAAAGGATCTGTGAAGACTGACCTGCTTAACAGCTGGCCCAACCTCTTTCTAGAATGTC